TATATATATATATATATATATATAACGCTGTCAATCCATTCAAAATTTCAAATAAACCCATCCTCAGCGCGCCAAAAGCTGAAACTCTGACCAGCCACTATATACATATATATTATATATATATAGCTAGACATATATATATATATATATATATATATATATATATATATGCGCATAAACATATATATATATATATATATAGATACATCTATACACATATTGCATAATTTTAATTTAATTTTATATCGAAAATGTATTCTTTAGTTGGTTTTTGTTTTTTTTTTTTTTTTGGTAATTTTTATTTGTTTTCTTTTTTGTTGTTGTTTGTTTCTTTATATTTATTAATTTTAAATTTAAATATAATTTAATAAGAAGAATTTGTTGTTTGATTTTACATTATTTATAATATATATATGTTGTATTTATAATATATTTTATTTCTGTTTGTTGTGTGTGTGTGTAATGTGTGAGTGTGTGTGTGTGTTTTGTGTTTGTGTGCAGAGCTGTTGTTGGTGTTCAATTCATTTTTCTCATTTTGCAAAAATTACAAATTTCCATTTCTTTTTATTAATTTTTTTTTATTATTATTTTTATTTTTGCAACGAATTTCGACAAATGTTCTTTAAACTTGAAACAATTTGATTTGTTGTTCTCTTGTTAACAGTGCTCTCTTGCCTACAAATGTCGCCGCCGCCGCCGCCGACGCCAGGGGGCGCTGCTGCTGCCGCCACAGAGAGTGGGCATTGCTGCCGACTCATAGAGGGCGCTGCATGCGCTACGCTTTGCGCGCGGCTTACACAAAAGTTCTGATTGTTTGTTGTTGTTGTTGTTTGTTATAGTGTGGTATGCCTGTAGTTTAAGTGTAGTAGTTTAATTCATTTCTTATAACATGCTTTTTGCTGTTTTGTTGTTTGCTTGCTGTTTAAACGGTGACTTCTTTAAGTTTTGCTGTTTCTTGTTGTTGTTGTAGTTGTTCTTGATTTCTCGCATTTCTTTTTGCATAAAAATTAAGTGTGTTTTCTTGTTGTTTGTATTTTTTTTTTATATAAATTTTTTATGTAATTTTTTCTGAGTTTTTCTCATTTTATGCTTTGTTTAAATTTTCTTGCTTTGCGTTTTTTGCTTCGTTTAGTTTAAGTGTAAAGTTTTCTTTCTTTTTGCATTTGTTTTATAAGTTTCTTAAATGTTTTTTTGTTTTCTTAATGTTTTTCTTCTTCTTGTTGTTGATGTTTTTTTGCTTAACTCTTTGTTGTTTTTTTAAGATCTTTTATTGGGGTCCATAGCAACAGCGCGGCGCGATGTTCTTGCGCACAGCTACAGTCTTCGTCAACATCTTAAAAAAATAGAAAGGCTTAAAAAGAAATAATTTAACGCTTCACTTCGATGTCATCATAGTCACGAATTCTGCAAAGAAACGAAGTTAAAGAGAATGTGATTAGTCGAGGGAAATTTGATTAACAATTGTTAAATATTTACGGCCAACATTTACCCTGAACTTGTTCAGTTTACAATGAACTGCGATTACCGTTACACAGAAATAGCTAATCATTACACTAGCACTCACCACATCTTGACAGTTGCTGTGGGGGTGGGCGGGCCAGAGCTGCAAATAGATGTGTCGCACGACAAAAGCCCCCTTCTTCCCCCTCTATCTAGCCAACACCAATCAAACCAAAAGTCAACTAATCAATAAGACAAATAGGTAAGTCACAAGATGCGACGCTGAATGACTGATGAAAAGCTGTTCGGGCGGACAAGAGCGAGAACAGAAATCAGGGGAAAATTTATTAAGTGCGCTGCCAGACACGCCAGATTTCACAGAGCATATAGAATCAGAGATATTACATTGAATTCGAATTTGAAATACTCTATATATAGTATAAATTATACCTCAAATAGAAACAAGGAATTGAAACGTGCTCCAAGTGTCAAAATGTCAATTCAATTTATAGCCAACTCGATGTCAGTGGGCCTCGTTTCATTCCACACGTAACAGCTGCGCTCCAAGTTGCGTAGAGTTGAAGGCATGTTTCATGCCAGACGTTTCAATAAATCATCATAGACTCTCAGCATATACTCTACTCCATTTACTGTGCTAAGTATATGTGCCGAAAATAGCAACTGCATCAGAGCAGGCGACGGAGGAGAAAAATGAGACAAAGAGCAGACGAGCTACAGATGAAGTGATCCAAGTGGAATGGTACAGCAGCGAGTGCGGACATTGTTCGATTTGAACTGTCTGCTTTTCGTTTTCCTGATAAAACCGGCAATCAGTATAAGCTCGCATGTGTGTGTGTGTGTGTGTCTGTATAGCACTTCATTAAGGGGCATGAATGGGTGCCGGTAGGGGCGGGCACACAAATTGGCAAACGTTGTCAGCGAAACGTTGGCTGTTGAAACGATTCCGGGGCTGTTCGTTCGTGTCCCCGATTTATCAGGTGTTTGCATGCAGCTCCTAAATATAGACAAGTGACTGCCTTCACACACACACACACACACTCACACAGGCGTCGCAGCTTCCCTGAGCCTTTACCGCCTCTACCCGCTCTACCTCTGCTCTTTACAGCCAACTGCATTTGCGGCGTTGCGGCTATTGTTGTGACTCTCTGTCTCTGTCTCTGTCACTATCTCTCTCTTCTTCTAGCATTTGTGGTCGAGCGCATTTTTGACATATTTGTAGCATGTGAAAAACGTTTGGCCTCTCGACCACAACAAATACATACGTAAGTCACAACATCGCAACGAACCACGTCACATGGCACCTGATTGTTCAAAAGACGGTGCTGTAATTCATCTACACACGAGTTGAACAGATAATTGGGTTTATCTCATAGCGGGCGTAGCCCTTTATTCATATTGTTCCAAGTGTTTATCTGTTTCCATTACAATAGATAATCCTATTAGCAATTTCATTTTTCTCGTTTCTTGTCTCTCATATTGTTTCTATTCCACATGATTCTCTCACGATCTAATCTAATTTGTTTCACTTACTCGCACATGTCGCATTCGAGTTTATTTGCAATGAGTTTATTTCCATTCCAAAGTGTTTCATATGATATTATTACCTATCATCACATCTGTGGTACGAAAGTTCTCTTCTGTTAACTGTTTCTATTCCAAAATGTAACAATTATATATTTTCACTTCAATAGAATCCTCTTCCATCAATCGAATCCTTTTCCATCACACACTTTTTCAGCTTTTTCTTCTCCTCACTTATATAGCTCATTATATCTGTTCCATTTCCAAACTGTTCTCAACCTCTCCACATATTCTTGGACAATACCAATTCATTTTATAGATTGATAAGAGTCAGGTTCTCGCTATTTTCTCGCTATTAGCTCACAATCTATAAAACTTGATCATATAAATTCTAGTCTATACGACTTTTATATAACCCATTAAAATGCCCAAGATTCCGCGCCTTTTGGCTCGTTAAATATTAAACAGTTTTAAAAATAAAACGTTATTAGGGGCACAAACGCAACATTCGCAAAAAAAAAAGAAAGTCCAGGGGACACGCCTCGAACAACCTTTAAGACCTTTTCCTTTTTATTATCTTTCGCAATATGCAAATGTTCTTTTGCCTGAGAACCCAGCCCAAATCGAATCAGAAATTGACTTTTCGTGTTGGGCCTTGACATTTCGCACCCTTTTCTTTTAGTGTTTGCCAAGTGAATTTTCTTAATGGGTTTTTTCCGCAATATTTGTTCATACATATATTTTTTTTGGGGGGGGGGGCTTGGGCTTGGGCTTTTTGTTTGTTCGGCAATTAAACTAAAATTAAAACTCTATTTTATAGTGTTATAAAACGCGGAAGACTTTTGATTTTTCCATGATCGCTGCGCCTCTTGGCTTTTGTGGCTCTGCTGTTTATCTTTCGTCGTTTTGTTTACATTCGCCCGAGCTAATTTTCGTTTTGTTATTCATTTTTCTTTGGCATATTTTATTTTGCCGCGCTTCTCTGCTATTGCTGAATTTGTTTTTCTTTTGTATTTTGCTTAACATTTTATTTGATTTTTCATTTCGGTTTTGTTTCACCCATTTTTGCTTTTCGCCTATTTTCTGACAACATTTTTATATTTGGCCATGGGCCAAAGTAAGTCTCATCTTTGTGTGTGCCGAACCGTATACCCGAACCGTACCCCCATTGTTTGCCATATTGCCATATAATTTTCAGCTGCCGTACACCCACCGTCGTTACCAACAAGACAACAATAAAGACTTTCGTTAATTGGCAATAAGCAAATGGCAACAACTCGCATTTATTTATGTTATGCTCATTTTCTCCATATAGTATATATGATACAGATATATACATATATATGTAGATATATACATATATATATTTGTTCGGCTTCTTGTCGTCGGTCAATGTTCAAACAGCTCGCCAAAATTGCCTGCTAGCTGTGCTCTCTTTCTCTCTCTTTTTATCTCTTTCACTCTGCTTCCTACTTCTTGTTGTATTCGAATTTCTTTTGTTGTTCGGATTATTGCACAATATTTATATTTGAATTTAATTTTGTTGTCTCACTTAAGCATTAAACATTTTACTTTGCGTAGGCAGCGGAAAAGCCCAACAAGAAATTATCCCAGAGAATCGATGAAAAAAATAAATGATAAATGTGCGGTACCTAAGAAATGGCTCTATGTAATGGCTGAAAGAGTAAAGGAATGTAAGGAGCAACAGCTACAACAAGAGAGAGAGAGAGAGAGGGAGAGAGAAAGAGAGAGAGAGAGAGAGGGAGATAGAGAGAGAAAGAGCAGCAATAGTTAAGGAAAGAGATATGGAACAGAAGATATGAGACACCTGGAGAATGAAAGGAAGTCACTAAGGAAATATAGTGAGAGAACGAGAGGAAAATATACGAGGAAAGAGAAGATAGAATGAGCTAGAGACATAAATGAGAAAGGAGAGAGAGAGAGTAGGACAGAGAGAGAGAGATAGAGAGAGAGTACTACACATAGTGAGAGAGAGGAAGCAGAACACAGAGAGAGCAGAACAGAAAGAGAGAGAGCAGAACAAAAAGAGAGAGAGAGGAAGCAGAACAGAGAGAGAGAGAAGATTTTCTGATCGAGACAATCTACAAGGATAAACTATTGATTGATTTCAGATCAAATAATTACCTAACAAGTGTATAATTAAATAGATTTTTAAACTAGTATAGCTGAATATCTAACAAGCCTTCAACCAGAAAAAAAAACATTGTCAATTAACTTCCAGCAAACAGCACAAAAAACCAGCAATAACTTGTTAGCAAGTTTTTCCACACATAAATCAATAATTTTACGACGATTATGACCCTATTTAAGATAAGATTTCAAATGAAATCAACAAAAAACACAATTTACAGTCAACAGTAAAAGTCATTAACAAACTCAGACTATTAGAGATTATATAATCACGAAATCGATTGAAATTCGCGCGTTTTGCAACACTTAAAACTGATTAATTTGCTTCCCCAATCGACAATGTTTGTCAGTTGTATTTGTAACTGTTAATTTGTGTGCTTTACTTTCAGCTTCCTTGACTTTGGGTTATAGCATAGGTGTAGTATCGCACCTATTTATATATTGTTTCACTTGGTTATTTTTATGTTCGGTTCATAAATTGCTTGTGATTAATCTATTTGATCCGCCAAAGATATTTTGCGCCAAACGATTTCTATTTGAACTTGAGGCAGATAACTATAGATATATATATATATGCTGTATATGTATATATGATATACATATATATATCTGTATATGTATATGCCGACATCAGAGAGAGAGAGAAAGAGATATCTCGTATTATTTCAGTATTTGTTGTTTTTCTAAGTACAATCAAAGCAGACGCGGCACAAATCAGGACAGGTGCAGCTGCAGAAGGGGTGCGGGGTGTCAAGAGCTGTGCGAGACGCAGCATGAACAATATCTTAACACCTTGTTTCTATATCTTTTAATGTATATTCCTTTCCCATTATTGCTGTTGTATGCGTAGTTGTAGTTGTTTTTCTTCTTCGAACTTTTGCTCAATTGAAAATTCAATTTTCAAGCAATTAAATTAAATTTCGAAGAATACACAAAGAGCAAAAAAAAAACATGCATTAGTATACAATGTATGTGGGCTATGATTGACTAATTGCTGCTCTGCACTAAAGAATTTTTATTTAAAGGAAACTATAAATTATGTAGAAGAGGAGTTTATATGGAGTCAAGGTAAAGTTTGATCGAATATAGCGGGAATATTACAATAAAAGTTTTAAAGATATTTTCATAAAGCTAAATATATATTTTAGCTAGTTACTAGAAGAAACGTTCTTGATATGAATACACTATAAACACTTCCAATAAATAATGCATTTATCAACAAACTCGAAAGTCTAATAACCACAATTTCCAGTGAAACATTCAGTTGATTGATTATGCTCAGGAAATTCTGCAGAAAAGAGATTCTTGGAAAGGAAAGTCAATTCCTATCCGAGTGGAACTCATATAAGGGAGGTATCAATTCAAGAGAATGAAAACTCGTAAGCCGAGAAGATATAACAGAAAGCCAACAAAATTACAGGGTATTCAGTTGCCATACTGGGCTGTCTATTAAGACTGAATCAGTTTATAGCAAATCTCATGAGTGAGTAAAAAGTAACGAATGACAAAACAACTGCCAAAGTGTGACTCAAATACATATGCTATGACTGTGCAACTCTATATATGTGTGTATGTGTGTGTGTGTGTCGCGTTGTGTGTGATTCAATCGACAGCTATGCCACTGTTTTGGCAGCGCAAAAACGCATAACCCCAGCCATAAGTCAATTGTCTAACCACGGCAAATGTTGTGCGAATATCCAATTAGTGGCCTGACATGACATCGCAATTACAACAACAACAACAACAACACGACACGCGACAACAACACACGCAGCCAATAAGCCGCTTAACATCGAATCTCTATCCCTATGTGTATGGTAGGTGTTTAGTTTTTGAGGCTCTGCTTTGGCATTCGCTTACCTTCGTAATTGACCTGACCATCACCGTCGATATCAGCCTCACGGATCATCTCATCGACCTCCTCGTCTGTTAATTTCTCGCCCAAATTTGTCATCACGTGACGCAATTCAGCCGCTGAAATGAAGCCGTTGCCATCCTTATCGAACACTCTGAACGCTTCCCGAATCTCCTCTTCGCTATCGGTGTCCTTCATTTTGCGTGCCATCATGGTAAGGAATTCTGGGAAGTCAATTGTACCATTGCCTGGAAACCAAAATCAAGCATTTCAATTAGTTCAATATAAATTGTGAAATTCGTTTCAGCTATACGACTATGATAAAGTAATTTCTACGGAAATATTGATGTATCTCGTATTATAAATACGTAAATATATTTTATATATTTATTTAAAGTTTCTGCAGAGGTTTCTTCTTAAGAACTGTTTATATATTATTTTCACTGTATTATATTCGATTGTATTTTAGCTAAGGTTGCCGTACTTCAAGTAAATATTTCATTTTCATCGTTCTAAACAGCCTCACAACCGACTCAACTTGTTGCCAGTGTTGCCAGACTTCCACAAAAGTACTCCTTACTTCAGTCTCAATATGAATTTGAACTAAAAACTCTTTAAAGTCTATTCCTATCCTATTTTGCTCTTTTAAACTAGCTCATGTTTCATTCCAATTGTTTCCAAATGCAACTGCAATGTCCCATAAATCTTCAGTAACATCCTACTTCCATTCACAACTCATTTACATCTTCTCAACTCCATAAAAAAGTTTGCTTCATCATGAAATTCCTTCCTGAACCTTTTTCCGCACATTTCCCGCACTCTTGCTAGCAATTTATAAGGCAAACATAAATTTCTCTGTTATAAAGTTTAGTAGCTCTGACTGCCCACGCCCACGCCCACACGCCACTATTTGTGTACCTGACGGCTATATAAACTCGGGCAAATCCCCTTTGGCCTGCACACAAACAGAAATCTTTTCATAGTCGGCAATCAAGCAGATTTTCATATATGACCTATGTGTTGGCTGGCTGAAGGGATGAAGGGATTTGCCTCTTATTTGTGTTCTTTCTGTTGTGGCACACGTGGCGTATGCGCAACATTTGTGACACTGACAACTTTAGCGCGTTGGTCCGGCGCTGGATAAGATAAGCCCAGCAACAAAAACTTTTTCGAAGCGGCTCGCAAATGAAGTGACCTCCACACCACAGAACCCATACAGAATGCCAGCCGTTAGACTAATTGAAAAAGTTTCACTTCACATTCTCTATTTAAAGTTTTCCCTCCCTCCCCTCCCCCTCCTCCTCTCTTGTGCTCTGCTCTTTACGTTTTTATGTCTCTCCATTGGCCAAAAAATGTGGAAACTTTTGCTTGTGCTGCTTAACCAGCAAAACTTTTGTGTCGAACTCTTGAGACCTTAATTGTTATTGACTCGACAAACGGGGCGTGGCCCGGTTCAGAAAGGTTGCACTGAACTGTATCCAGTATATGTTAGCTAATGCTGGCTCTTTTAATGGAGCATTCACATTAATATTTACACAAAATGTTACGATTAGACAACTGTTTCGAGGGTCCAGCCAAAGTTGAGGAACTTTGAGCAGAAAACTTTCTCAAAATCACTTTTCTTTACGATTTCCCTTTTGCCACATGTGTGGAATTTAACTAGCAAATAAATCGTATTGAAAATTTAGTTTCCTTAGAGCTTGAAATATGAATCTAAATTGTTTTTATAGGTGGTAATATAAGTAATATTTATGAGCATGATTAAAGAAGTTCTCAAGGGGAAATTTTCAATTTCTCTTTTGTGTTACACTCTTAAACGGTATATTAGATATATCTAGTATTTATATATGTTATACACTAGATATATTTAGTATTTATATAATATATATTAACTCTTAAACTTAATACTTTTATTTTATGAATTTCTCTATAAATTTATTCATAGTTGGAAATTCTCCACACTCGCCTCGCCTCTACCTGTAGAAGTAACCCCACCAACCAATCACTCATTACAATCAATGCTACCCACATCGTTTAGCAAACATTCCACAGCTCATACGAAATGTAAAATTAATGTTTAGCTATCGTATTTAATAGCCACACACACACACACTAACGCACGCACACACGCATAGCCAAGTCAATTATTTCAAGTTCAGATACAAATACAAATCAATTCACAAGTGTTACCTTCCGAGATACCCGAACACAGCCGAAAAACAACTACATTAAAGCGCGAGCGCGAACAGCAAAATAAATAATGAAATGAAATCTTAAAAAAAAAATCCAGTAATTAAAAGCGAAAAAAAAAACCAGGCAAAAATGTGCTTTCAATTAAAGAACACACAAGTATTATTATGATTATTGAATGGAACATTTAGAAATAATAAGCAAGGCGCACGAATATCCGCTAAAGCACATATAACGGCAAATGAAGAGGCGCCAAAAGAAAATTGGGCGAAAAAAATTTAAGTAAAACTGTTGCAGTGAACGACTGCAAGATACTCGTCCAATATGAGAGAATCAGACACAGTATGAATATAGCTGCCTGGCAAATTCTGTATACTATAAATGAATTAGAGATCTAAGGATCTAGAGATTAGAGATTTGTAATTATAGTCTAGAATAAAGATTTTTACTTATTGCCGATTCGCCTCGACCTAGCTGGATCCATTGCCCCGATATACTCTCCCCACCTAATTTTGACCAGTATAAAAACAAATATTATATGGAAATTTCTATTTTGAAACATTTTCGACGCAAACTATGTCGCTGATTTTGGCTAAGGATTTCCCCAACAAGACGATAGAGCTAAATACAAATTTGAGGCCATTTTTGTGTATAGACCACATTCAGATATATGTATATATATATATCTATATGGCTGATCGACTTTTAGACGCGCCTTAGACAGAAACACTTTTTGACAAGGCTCATATGATGCTGCTGATGATGTTCATAATGATGATGATGATGATGATGATGACGAGCCTCTTGCCAATTCGTGTTGCCAATGTCTGGTTGCTTGCTTGGTTTTTGGTTTCCATTACCTCTATAGACAGACGAGTCACACTTCCTCTATAATAATACATATTATACATACATATATATATCTCTGTATAAGTCGCAGACTCTATGCCCGCCCGCCTTGTCGTTTCGCAACGCTGCGCAAAAATTTTTTCTTGCAGACAATTTAAAATTTTAATAAGATTTTTTTTTTTTTTTTCAACGCTAAATTTAGTTGGGCAGCGGCACAGAGGGGTATACGAACTTTTTATAAATAACACATTGGGATTCCTTATATCTATATATACCATACATATATCGTTCTTCTCTGGCTGATTTTCATTTTATATGCCATTTGCATAGACCTGGACAATTGCAAAGACTTCCAAAGGCAACAAATTTTAGCGGAACAGTGGGGAGTCTCTATCTCTATCTCTCTCTCTCTCTCTTTCTCACTCTGTCTTTCCTGTCCTCTCTCTCTAATGGCGTCGTTTGTATGCAGGCTGCAGTTCTTTTTTGTACGTCGCCAACAAAATTTTAAGTAATGAATGTTTAATGTTTCCGTCTGTTGTTCACAGACTACAAAAATTACACACACAAACACGTAGACAGGTGTGTGCGTGTCTGTGTGCATACATATCTATGTATATACATATGTATATATTTTATATAATTTGATGCACGAAATGCCAGATCGTAAAACAGACGAGATAATCGCCATGAAAGCCACAGTAACTATATAGGAAAAACAGCCATGTGAATAATACAAAACTGAATGAGTGCTAAGCAAATATAAATGACTAAACTAAACGTATATATAGGAATATTTCTATATATATCACATTTAAACAAATTACCATAATTAAGTTCTTTTTTTTAATGACTCTGTCAGACAGTGTGACCAGCTTAAATATATATGAATTTTTATCTTTTCTACAAATGCACTGAAGCAACTGAAACTTTTTTTGTTTTTAACTATTAAAAGAAAAACAAATATTAAAATTGTATAACTGCTTTTACTAGCCATGTGTATATATACATTAGACATTAATTTCAAACCGGCAAAAGTGCAAATTTTTTTGCACAATTGATAATAAAAATGTTGAAAATTGAAAAGTCGTAAATCAATAAAAAGTAACCACAAAAAAACAGAAAAATTTCCTAAAATTCTGCTAGCTTTAAAAACAAATGGAATTCTAGAATTCCCATAAATATTTATATTTTCGACCTATATTGACCAAATGTTTACTATATAAAATACATCGAATACAATGCATATTTATTTATTACCCTTCACGCTTGAATACATACAAAAACATACATACATCAATCACATGCAACACATACGCACACATACATATGCATACTGCTCCAACGCTCGCAACTTCGTTCTAAACTGCGAAACAGAAGCTCAACAAGCTCGTTCTCCCTCTCACACACACACATATATACATTTATAGTTGTAAAGTCCACTCCCTCTCTCTTTCTTATTTGCCCTGAGCCAAGCAACAATCTATATTTAGCTCTGAACGATAAGCATCAGTCAGTCAGTCAGTCAGTCAGTCAGTCAGTCAATCTGTCATTCACTAGCTCGCCCACACCCGCTGCCTATCCACGCGCTCCTTGTGCCTGTTGTCCTCTTTACTGCTATCCGATTGGCGCATGCGCTGCTGAGCGCCTTTTATGCAGACTTTGCCCTGGATTTTTCATCACATGCGCATTCTGCACGTGCAAGAAGAAGCAAAGAGCAGAACAAGAGCAATTGTAGTTGTAAAGTACGACGCCAGCAGCACAGCCGCTGCAGACAAGAGCAGAGAGTGAGAGAGAGAGCAGCCTTTGCTGCCGTCAAATGTGGGTAACTTCACTTCGGCTAGCATTTCTTTCGCTTTGCACTTTCGTACGACAGCAGCGCAACGCAGGCAGAGTAGCGGTAAAGAGCAAGGGCGCTGCACAGAGACTTGGGAAGAGCAGAGAGCGCTGACTGCCTGCCTTAGTTACTTTCGTTGCTGCTGCTGCCGAAGTGGGTAACTTCAGCAGCACTGCGATTGAGAGAGACAGAGAGAGTGTTAGCTGCTGATATAGTAATTGTTGTTGCTGCTGTTTCATCTGCCAGCGGATGTGGGTGACTTGATTTCGGTTTCTTGCATTTTTATCTCCTTGCATTTTTTACTCGTTACGCTTTGCACTTATCGCGCTGCTTGTGTATTTATCCGAGTGTGTGCGTGTGTGTCTGTTTGTATGAGTTTTCTGTTGCTTGCTTGGGTGGGGCCTGTTTTATTTTTAAGCTAATTGTCGAGCTTTGAGCATATTATGCAAAAGCCAAATGCGCACACAGACGCGGACGCCAACACACACACACACACACAGACACAGACACTTGCATTTGTGGATGCATAAAAAAGTGATTTATAATTTGTGAAAATTTATATAGCCCGCAAGAGCAAAAACAAATTATTCTCGACACATTTCACAATTGCTAAAAATACATATAAAAAGCCACACGAGCAAGCGTCCCACCGTCCCTCACTCTCACTAACACACACACACACACTCCTTCCCTCTCACACTTGTTGGAAATGTGCAGTTGTTGAACAAGTTTTCATGCAAAAGGTGAAAAACCTCAACGGGCGACACATTTGGCGGCGTCTATCGCTCAATTTCTTTCAAAAAGAAACAAAATTGAAATATTTATTTTCATTTGGTTTTTCTCATTTAGTTTTTCCCAAATATTCTGTAGATTCTTTGTGTTCCCAGTTTTTGGGGGCCTCTCAACCACCTTTTGTCAGGAATCCTGTGTGTGCATTTTTGACAGCAATTACAACAACAACAACAACAACAACAACAAGAATATGAACATTAGCCAGGCCAAACAACAGGCCAAATATTTTGTAATCTATTTTTAATGGCTATGACGTGTTTTTGTTGCATATTTTTAGCCGATCGCAAAAAGAACGAAATGCTAAGAAAACACACAAAGAATTTTGTTGTCCGTCTTGCTTCTGTCTCGAGATCTATTCACAATTTTTGTTGTCTGCTAATCTCGTTCAAGAATAGATCCATAGTAGGGTATATAATTAGCATGGGAGAGCCAAAATTTAAAGGGTTCATAGCAATTAGCACATTAAATAAGAATACAAGAAGTGATCTACAAATCTCAAGTGGAACTAGTTCAAGAACTTGGGCAATCGAAAATTGATTTACCAATTGAATTTTTGCGAAATCCAAATATGCCAAGTTCTTAGCATTAATACTAAATATTACAGAAAGAGAATACAAAATAGTTGCGAGAGTGCCTAAACTGTATTTATAGAGAAAATCTTATCTGCAATAATCCTAAACCTTTCGCTTCTGCTTATCTAATTAAATACCGATAAACATTTTCAACTCACCATCGGCATCGACCTCGTTTATCATGTCCTGGAGCTCAGCCTCTGTGGGGTTCTGTCCCAAGGAACGCATAACTGTGCCCAACTCCTTTGTTGTGATGGTGCCATCGCCGTCTTTGTCGAATAGCGAGAACGCCTCTTTGAACTCAGCGATTTGTTCCTCTGTCAGCTGATCGGCCTGCAAAAAGAGAATTCAAAATAGTTTTCGTCAGTTTCACGTGTCTATTTCGTTTTCTTTTTTTTGGTTTTCAAATACCATAATTTAGCTTTCGATTGAACAGATTTTTCTTCAATGTAGATTTTATAATTAATTGCTGTCAAGTTTATAAAGTGTTTATGAATGATGACACAGTCGTCGACTACTTGATGTTATTTCAATGCCAACATATAGGCAAACAACAATATTTCATATATGTATAATTTACATACATACAAATATGGGGGGCGTTCTACTATTTCTGGCTTATGCATAGCCATAAAGCCATTTCTTTAAACATTTTCCATAACTTTCCCAAAACTCAGAGGAATTATGAAAAACTCTAAAATAAATTTTCCAAGTAATTTTTCAAAGAATCTCATTCAATTTATATACGGCCCCAAAATGTTTTACGCATGTTTTTGTATGTTTCACTGTTTCTAAATAGATATAGATATATGTATATAAATAAATACAAAATTTAGATAAGTTACTTTATTTTAAAATACCCTTATATAAAACCCTTAAGTCTAAATTCGCTATAAACATTTTCGAGGATTTTTTCATAGATCTCCATTTTTATACCAAACATATTCTACCCACATACTCAAACACTTCCAAAAGTAGCTATCTAACTATCTTTTATTTGGGCCAAGTGCGTCAGCTATCGATCAGTCGTCAATCATAGCTTTACATACTTTTCTTATAGGCAGCTATATACAGTTCGACAGTGTTCATGACAATTGTCTCTATAAGAAAATCTATTTGCAATTATAATACAATGCGCGTTTCCACCCTTCAGCGAAACCATAAAAAGAAACAAAAGAGAACAATAAAAATGTTAGGAGGCAAATATGTCGAAACATTCAGTCAAGAGATACGTCAAAGAAAAAGTGGGCTTTGAATAATTTCGCATATTGTTTGCACTCAACAAAAAGGCGCCAGACATACAAATGTATATAATGTATATATGTATAGAGATACAGTTGTTCTCATATCACAGCAATGGTATCTAGGAAAAAAAAAAGGTGTTGGGTTCCGCTGACGTCAATTTACTTTTATTTTTTAAGGGGTCTAAAGTTTTTCGTATTTATATATGCGTAACTGAAGCTTTGTGCGCGTACTCAAGGTTCTCTGTTGGGGTATATTATGCTAAAGTAGAGCCCTTGGTTGTAGCATTTCGCTGACTTTATAAACCAAAGCTCGTTGTCAATTGAAGCGTTTCCGAAACTAATTTGTTTTGACAGACATCAATTCAAATAATATAATATGCATATATAACATATAGCAAGGCGATAAGGTCGGCGCCCCAATATTTACATATATATAAATATAATAGAGCTTCGACTCGCATATCAATAATATTTATGATTATTTTTATTACCTACGTCAGCAGCAAATTGTTTCAAAATAATTTTTATATTTATTTTTTTTATTCTATTCTCATCATATTTTTGGCATTGATTGATTTCGGAAACTAATGCTCGCAATGATCGTAACTATCCCTATTAGATCAAATGCAAAAACGTAATACTTTGCTAGGTCTATTAAATCACTCGCAATAATAATAATGTGAGATCATATATAGGGTAATCGATGAGCTAATCTAAAGATAAACAAATCCAAATATGAATAAATAAATCATACTCAATCGATTTTTAATGTTAAAAACCATTAAAAAAAAATATTAAAAATTGTTGGATTAATATTGAAAAATATATATGATTATAAAATAATGGTTATAATAATAATAAAACAACATATTCATCATAATTAATTATATATTCAATAATTCATAATTTTTTAATTATAAAAGGCAATTTTAATAATCTATCATTCATTGCATTTATCGTATATTTTTTTCATTTTTGTTTCCATGCATATAGAGAATTTTAATTTCTATGAGCTCACTGCTAATTGCTCATTGTGACTCAATCAGAATGCAATTCTAGATGAAAAACAATTTGAGAGTTCACTGCAGAGCAATTTAATGTACATTAAATCATTCTTAGATTTCAGATAAGACTTGCTGTATACAAAAAAAGCACGACTATATTAATTGACTGTTCCCCTTAAAATTCCAAGTGCAAAGTTCTCATAAGTTAGCTTAAGTTCACATTATCAATAAACCCAATATGTACTTATCTAATCAATAAACGAAACATAAAGTAAATCTACCTTATAGCTAGGCACAGTTCTAACTCAAGGCGTACGAGTAGCTCGAGTGTTATATAAGCAAAATGTTTGCTGACAATATATATATATTTGTATATATGTATGTTCGTATGTACATATCTGTACTACAGGTACAATTGTATATGGACAACTTCCGCGGAGCTTAGCCAAAGAGCTAACGATTGGTTCTTTATCTAATCGTTGTCGATTACCATTTAAGAGCGCCAGGTGTATATATAATCTTGAGCAATCAGAAATTAAATTTCTTTAAACTGATTGATAAGCTTAACTTATCAAATTTTTAATATATAAAGAAATATATTTATAAGGAAATATTATATAATATTTTTTTTTATATACCAATTTTTATAGTAAAATTCTTCTACACATCTATTTAACTTATGTTGGGTATTTTATTGTTTTTCAATTGCCATCGAACCACTGTACCTACTGTTAAATAGGTGTAGCGTGGGGCGTCAATTGAATTTGGGCTTATCGCTGTACTAGATAAAACACTTTTTTCTACTTTATTTTCACATATAGATTTTGTATTTGCTTGCTCAGTTGTTATTGTTTTTGATTATGTCATAAAAATGTGAGTCAAAGCCTCAAAGCCAGATCAAAGCTCAGCATGTTGCCTTATAAACAACAATATGGCAACACCACCCACGCGTGTAGCGTAACCAGATCGCAGGCGCTGCCCAATTGTCAGGCCTTAAATTGCGCGTCCAGCTGACGCCCTCCTATCGGCACCTGGTCATGCATGTGTATAGGTGTGTGCATGTGTGGGTGCACGTGTGTGCGTGTGTGGGTGTGTTTGTGTGTTTGTGCCTGCCTTGTGGGCATTGCACATGTGATACAAATGAAGCATAAACAATACTTTTAATAGCTTTCTCTAACTATAGCTGCCTCGCTCTCACGCTTTTCGTCGAACTGTTTATTTCGCCCGCTTGCATTTGGCTGGGCCGAAAACCGGCAAATAGCGGTTTTTATTAATGAGTTTTAGCAACAATTTTTGTTTCTCTACTTCTTTTAAGGCGAATCGACAAGTCAAAAAGAGAGTTGCCGGTTAGCCGGTGCGAACCGGTTAACATTCGCATTAAGGTCTATGTACATACAGTCATACTCATGTATGTATGTATGTATGTGCCTATGCATGGATATATGCATGTGTGTTTGTTTGTGTGTATTTTCAGCGAAAAGAATTGTTGTGCTAATGTGTTGTCAATGTTTTTTTGTTAGCGCTTTCGATGAAATCAGCCAAGTGAGTCAGAAACATTAAAAAAAAAAGCAACCGTCATTTAGCTCAACTTGATCCATGTTTTAAAAAAGTGAAAAAGAGGGTGCTGAGGAAATACAAGAACAACAACAGCAGAAATCAAACCCCCCGAATGAATCACATTTAATGCAAAACAAAATATTGAGCACGTAAAACGATTTGTTTTAATTAAAAGCTGTTTGCATTGTAAAACAAAAAGAAGAAAACGCTAATTAAATTAGCCGAGGGACAACGATGAGTGGGTGGTTGGCTGCGTGTGTATTTTCTTATCAGAAAGCAAACGCAGCAAGCGCTAAAACCAAATAAAATATAAAAAAAAAACCAGCAGCAAAAAATTGGGATTATGTGCGGTTATTATGGCGACGTCGCCACGTTTGGCGTCTGCGGCGAAAAAAAAATAGAAGAAAGGAAAATATATATATGTATGCATATATATATTTTTTTTTGTTCTCTCTTTTCATTATGCTGCACGCTGCACACGTTAGCCTGTTACAATGAAATTCTTGTGCGAATGGCAAAGTAGAACAAGCAACAACAGCAACATGGCCATACAGCAGCAACAGAAGCCAAAGCAGAAAGCGAAACAGCAAAATAACCGCAATGCGGCAAATGAAACGGTTATGGAAGAAAACAACAAAACGTAGGCGCCGCAACCGACACAACAGCGAGAGTCAAAGAGAGCGAGAGACAGAGCGTGAGCCACTGCGAAACGCAAAAGAAAGCGCACGCAGATAAAAGTGCGCGCCCCGAGAGCCAGAAGCGACGCAGTGTGAAATACGATTGATAACAAATGTGCAGAGCGAGAGTAACGAAACGAATCGACACGAAGCGAAACGCAACGCAGCCAGGCAAAACTGTGTGAAACGGTTATTGCTGAGCGAGAGAGTGTACGAGAGCGAACTAGCTTTGCTGCTGCGCGAACATGAAACGGTTAAGTTGAGCAAGCCAACGAAACCGCGACAAAGCAACGAACAGTAAAAATTCCAAAAGCCCAAGAATTTTCGCTGTTGCCTTTTCCTATTTTTGCCTATATGCTTCATTTTTTCTTCTACACGCAGCGTGTCTAACCTCAATTTTCGCGGTAAATAAAGCGAAACGAAATACAATAAGAAACAAGTAAAGAAAAAAAGCCGGTGGCGCTGCTGCTGGAAGCGTTGCTACAGCTACTTTTGTTGTTTTTGTTGCTGCTGTTGATCAATGCTCTCTCTAATGCTCTCACAAATATTTTGAAGATTGCAAATAAATGCTGATAAAGTGCCGATTGGCAACACACTTTTTTTTTGTGTGGTGCACCAAGGCAATGCACACATTTATTTATATGTGTACGTGCTTTTATGTGTATGTGTGTGTATGCGATACAGCTGGAAGCGGAGCCGCTGCGACGCCTTTTGAATGGCGCAAGGGGCGCGCCGCAGAGCGCTGCTGATAACAAGTTTTTTTTTCCATTGAGGTGCTTTACTTTACCTTTTTCTGCCTGTTTTTAAGTTTAATATGGGGTGGGCCTTTATTTGCATGTTAATAATTAACCTTGAATATCTCTCATGCAGTTGCTAAATTATAGAGAGGTATACAAAATTTCCCTATTATTTGGCAATATTTCTCTGTATTTGTTGATAGCTCGCACGAACTAATAAAAAAATAGATATATCAAATATGATTTATCGATATTTGCTTTGAAATGTGCTATAAACATTAATCTGATGGCTTTTGAGTCAAAATGAATTTCAAACAAAAATAAAAAACAATTGGAACTAGGCAATTAAAATCAGATTAAATAATAAATAATTGACATTATTTTGTACTTGATTATTATAAGTCAATAATGGAAAATTCTGTTTATATATTTTAATCTAAATAAAAATGTGAACACAAATAAATATTTGTCTTTTTTTGTAAACATGTATTTAATTTTCTTTGTTCAAATTTTTAAACATTTTTATAAGAGTAAAAAATTGTATATTTTTTAATTTGCAAATATTTGTGTTTTGTGTAAGCATATTTGTTTAAATAACTTTACACCAATAAACAAATTCAGACTTTTATGCAGAATTGAGTTATAGCTAATGTTTACCTACTTTATTAAGATAATTTGAAGAAGTTCAACTTGAACAAGAAAAAAACGCTATCTACAATGAAAAAAGAAATATATCTGCTGACGCTACACAAAGGTGAGTCATTAAAAAACTAACCCTCAGTATTTAAAAACTGATGAGAAATACAAAATTTTTTGCTTTGGGTAGTCAAAAAACCAGTTTGAGGCATTTTAGCCAACGGGGGTGCATTTCGGCACGGCAGCTGCTGCAGGGCTAAGGATCAAATGTAATCCAATTGGACTGGCGAGTAAATCGCGCTTACACATGCACACACACACATGCATACATGCACATATGTACATAGGCAAACGAGAACACATGTTCAATTTTAACCTTTGTGTACTTGAGATATCGGCTAATTGTTGAAATTTTAATGGAAATATTTGTGTAAACAATGCGAAACAGAGAAAGGTGGAGATTTAGAGAGAAAGAGCAGAAAGCGGTAGGATTTAGAATACATGAACTTACCATTTTTGTTTTTGGGTTTTTGTTGTTGTGTTTGGAAAGAAATGTAGCTAAAGGTTAATCCGCTGCTGCTGCTGCTGGCGGCGACGACGACTTTTTTGCTGTTGTTGGTATGTGTGAGTGGAATTTACGTGGACGACGCGCGTTCAACGTTTAACTTGTAAATTGATTTGCGTTTTAAGCAAATTTACTTTAATAACACACTGTAAAAGATCGAGAAGAAGAAGATGTTGAGAATAGTGCAACGGAGCAACAGTAGCAAAAAAATTCACACACACACGCACGCACACCCGAAGAACTAAAGCAGCGTCGTTGCCGGCGGCGAACACAAATGAAATGAAGGAAAATCAAGGAATGATGTGAGGCAAAAAAAAAGAGGCGACAAAAATGTTAACGTTAACGTCGACGCTGGCTGCGACGCTGCTTATATTCTTCTCTTTTTTTGTATTCTTTCGCCGTGGCAAATTTCTTGTTGCTATTTGTTGCTCTGCCGAAATTTTGAACAATTTTTATTCTTTGCGTTTTCTTTTTTTGGTTTTTCTATTGTGCGATATAATTGGCGAAACACACGCGCGCACACTCGTTGTTAATACATATGTATGCAAATTGCTCGATTTCGGTTTATACAAATATTTATATTTGTTTAATTCATTTGGATTTTCGTTTTGTGTGGGCTTGATGCTTTGGAAGATTTTTTTTGGCCTGACAGAAGTCCTCTTTGCAACTTTGTTGACTTGGATATATTTTATAATTTATATTTTTTCTTTTGATAATTTTGCAATTGTTGGTAACTCACGATCTTAATCAGAACTTGCGTCCGTAACGGTTGACAACTCAATTGTAACTGTACCGTTTAAAAACCGTTAGCGTACTACAATAAATTCGTGGTGTTCAGCTGTTGTTCGGCTGCAAAGATAATGTTAACTGATGGCTGTTAGTTGCTCAAATGAGCTGCATTCGCTCACGACGCTGCTCAAGTGAGCTGCTAGCTCCGCTGTTGTGCTCAGTGGCGCTGTTAACAACATAACTGCTGTTAACTTACGCTCGCATTGCTGCAAAGCAGCAGTTGAGCGAAACGGTTTGTAGAGCGAAACGGTTCAATTGCGCTCTCCATTGCGTTTTTTAATTTTCATCGCGTTTGCTGCTTTGCGTAAACGCAGTAAAATAAAAAAAAAAAAACAGGGGAAACGCGAAAAGAAATTTTGAGGACGATTTTTGCAAACAGTCGCGCCGGCGCCTTTGTGGGAAAAAAATTATGTAGATTCCAATTGGAATTGTTTATTTATTTGTTTTAGGTATTTGTATGGCACGATAGATAATTTTTGATAACTGGGATTGCCTGCTGCTATCGCGGGAAAATATCAGTTAAACTATAGACACATCTGATCTCTTCTCTACATGCATATGTATGTATGTATGTATGTACATAAAAAAGTTAGTTTTTTTTTAATCTTGGAATTGTGCAAAGCTGTATGCATACATACATACATACATATGTATATGTACATACATGTTATGTCTTATGTAATGCCACATTCACTTACATACATACATACATACCATGCAAGTATTAGTTTTTTGCATTGGTTCGATTTTTGGGCTCTTCCTTTGGTCAATTTCTACCCCTCGTTTTTTCACTCGCCTTGCTTTTTTTTGCCGCAGCAAATTGTCGCAATGTGTTTTTTCTTTCTTTTGGCGCAGTTGTCGTCCAACTCAACGCATGCCAACAAGTTAAGTATGTTAACCTCTGTAAATTAGACAAGGAGGAGGTAGAGAGAGAGAGAGGGAGACAGCATGCGGTAAAGGGCACAGAAATGAAGTAACAATGCAGCAACTGCGACGGCGATGGCGACTGCGACGCTGACGTCGTCATTGGCGATGGCGACGGCGACGGCGACGGCGACGGCGACGGCGACGACAGCAATGCGCCATTTTTCGCCATGAAATTCGGTTAGGGACGTCTTTTGCTCTACGTCCGTCAGTCAGCGCATACAATTGTATGTTTGTGTGTGTGAGCTGGGTAAACATTTTGCAAGCCAGAGAAGCCCCACAAGCCGCAGCCAGAGCCCAAGCCCAAAGCCAAAAACCATTCTCTCTGCCTCCTTTCGGCGACTTGTCAAAGCTTTCGTCGCAATGCGTTCAAACTTGCTAAAAATTCATTTGTTTGTCTCTTCATTTACAGTTGCTCGTTTTTATGGAGGTTAAGCATAAACATAAATCCGTTATAATATCAAAAGCTCAAAGAGCTTTGACTTGTAAACTAGGTTTATATGCAGCTGCATATATTTGAATATTTTTTTATTTATTTTTTATTTTTATAAAATATATATAAAGTTTTTATATCGTAATCCCATTGAACCAGACATTACAGACTTCTCTTTTGGCAAACAAAACTTAAATATTCTTACAAGTTGATGGTCTTTTGGAGATTGCCGAAGATATTTAGTTAAACCCATAAAAACTAATGATTTTATGATTAATTTTATCTATTATCTTAGCTTACTATATCATAACTTTGAGAGGTTATAAATTTCCTGTTCCAAGTACCCAACTTCTTAAGCCATTAAATTGCACCCCAGGGCATCCGACATTAACATTTTACTTCCATCTCCTTCGTCTTATTTTTGTTATGTAAGTAAAATAAAAGCTAATTACGAGGGCACATCTAGCCATAAAAAAGCCAGAATATTCTCTGTGTGAGCCCGCTAATTGTCAGCGAAATAAACGTTTGCAATTACGCTGGCTATATGATGGTGCTTTAATAGACCTACTAAAAGGTGATTTCCTCAGTGCGTTTCGGGGCCTTCAATAAGTACCACTAGAAGCTGACAAAAAGGGGCCATTAAACCCATTTTTATGGAAAGCTAAGCGTTTAATACAACGCTTTTTATACGCCTAGAATGAAAAGTGTGCGAAATGAGGAATGTAGGTGAAGGCACAAACGAAATTTTTGGAATGAGGTAATATGGGATATATTTTAAATAAATTTAAATTTTTTAAAGAAACCGTTTGAAAAGTTCCTTGAACTTTACTTTATATCTTTTAATACTAACCTTTAATAGAAATGAAAGAACAGAATTGATATATTTTCCGTTTTTCTACTGATATTTGATCTCAAAATATCATTGAGACTTGTTTATTATTATGATGTTAGAAAAGTGAAAAGCTATCTATACCTTGTGTAAGATGTTTCAAACCTAATCTTAATACATTCACAAATATGTCCCCGCTGATCTGAACAGATTACTTCTTCTTGCTCTTCCTGGCCTTACGGGCTCTCTTTGCTTGATCCTTGCGCCATTTCTGCCAATATCTTTGGATCTTGCGAGCCGCCCGATTCATCATGTAGAGCAAAATGCGCTGTTGTTGCTTGCGCTGCTCCTCCTTTTCGTATTTAACGACAATATTCTTATAGACAGCCTCTTCCTTTCGATACAGCACCATGAATTCGTCCAATTCTTTTTTGGCCACCTTAAACATATCTTCCAGTTCGAGATTTTCGCGCAATTTCTCAGTCACACTTGAATCGTATTTACGAAGGATATTCTCCAGCTGGATCAACAGTTTGCTTCTATAAGTGGGAATGAGAAGTACGAAAGAAAATACGATTGTAAGAGCTTATAGGGATTTTTTGTCTAGGGATCTTGATTCATTTTCCCTAAAATTTCTTCATTTATTACTTACTTTTCACCGCGTATTTCTTTTTCCTTAGCGGCATTATTTTTGACCAACAATTCGAATTGGGCCTTTGCTTGCTCCAGCTCCTCCTCCAATTCTTTCTGCCTAATCAGGCTCTGTTTGTGATTCTCACGCAAAATGCGACCGCGTTTTTCACTGCAAAGCGTTAGAAGAAATCGGAATACCGAAGATGCGGCATTGAATCTCGTACTACTCACATTTCGTTTTGGATGCGCACATTGTTCTTCCACTTGCGATTGGCCAGATCGCTCTCATGCTTCTCCAATATTACGAATTGGACGCCCTGCTTCCAGCGTAGAGCCGCATACTTTGACTTGAGTTTCTTCCGGATGCTCTCGTTGCGAGCCTTGGTCTCTTCGCGCTCCTGGTACATGACATACAGCTGCCGTTCCATGTTGATCTCGGCCTTCGATGTGCGCTCGAGATGACGGCGAGCGACAGACAGAATCGTTTCGAAGGCAAACAACAATGTCTTATCGTAGGTCGATAGATTGTTTAGATAGCGTGGAAATAGTTCATTCATTTTGAAATTTCGATGGAAATAATCGATTATCCGCAGTACTTCGATATCGAACATCTGTGTCTCGATCGCATCCAATCTCTTGACGGCCTTCAGGTGCTCTATTGCCGGCTGATAGAGCGTGCCCTGCAATTGGCGCTCCACATGTTCGAGATCGGCGACCATACGTGGCAGGATAAGCGATATTTTTAACCGGCCCAGTGAATCCTCCAGAATACGTAGAACATTCTCCACTTGTACGTCACGTATACGGGCGAAATCTACGTGGAATTCGTATAGATTTTTCAATTTCAGATAATTTGATTAGGCACGCCCGCTATGAACTCACCTTCCGCCTCAGCTGGATCAAGGTTCTGCATCCTTCCATATAAACTCTAAGATGTGCATATAAATGTGTGTATGTTCGTCTTTCTATTTGTATATTAACTTATATTTGTGTATGTATTTTATATTGTGTATTTTTGTGTTTCTTTTTGAGTACTGAACTAAAATTCTTGGTTTTGACAGTTGGGAAAACAACTTTGTTGCCTGGCTAACCTGATGGATGTTGCTAGGTAACAGGTAAATAATATGTTTCTTGTTGCTGGTTGCTTCGAGAGAAATCTATTGGAATGCAAGGAAAATATGTTTAAGTATTACAAAAAAAATTATATTAATAATAATAATAAAGAAACTATTATTAGTCCTTTTAGTAGAAATTTAAAAACATATCCTGAGAGATTTTTATGAAGGTAGGTAACTTATTATTAATATTTAAAAAAAAAAAGTGAAGATGAGAGATAGCAACAGAGAAAGTCAGATTATATAAGATGGAGCTAAGCAGAAGAAGGGGAGGAGAGCAAGAGCAAGAGATAGATATACAGATAAGGGGGACATCGAGTGAGAGAAAGAAGCTAAGAAACTATTCTGATATTCATATATTTATTTTCTTTTCTCTCTTTTTTTAGAGTAAAAAGTTATCCCGCCCTATGTCCACCTGATAATCAAAAGTTTTAAGAAATCTCCTATAGATATGATCTATAAATAAACAAATTCCACTTTCTAATTTACTACAACCATACAGACTGTCTGAGTATTCTACCCCATGTCGGATTATTTAATTATAGGGTATAAAATCGCAGTTTTTAAGCTAAATATAGCATTGCGTATGCCGCCTTTGGGCGTGGGTGTGGCGCACTCGCGTAGGCGTTTTCGTTGCGCTATGCAAAATTGTGCAAGGGGCGTGGCAGCAGCGAGGAGTGTGCGTGTGCGTGTGTGTGTGTGTGTCTGGCAGTTGGCTTCAGTTGTGTTTGGGACCTTGGCTCTAGCTGCCCGCCTGCAAAAAAGTTATTGCAGAGGGATCACGCAGAGAGGGAGGGCGACAGGGGCTGGCGCTGTGTGTGTGGAGCAGTTGAGGAGGTTGGCGTGTGTCGCATTATGTCAACTGGCGCGGCATGAATGATAGCTGCGACAGGCAGCAACAACGCATCAACAACAACGGCAAAGCGTTGCGCAGGGGCATTTCCGTTTGCCTGAATGTTTGTTTGCCAGGCGAACAGGCCTTTCAAGAAATGGAAATGGAAATGGAAAATGGAATCGAGGTACCAGCACCACGAACAGGACGCGTAGCAGGCGGAGGGCGTGTCCTGACTAAAGGCAAAAGCGTAAAGTTTTGTACAAAGCGCTGTCAACAAACAAAAT